TAGTTACAAAAACTGATAGCAGGCTAGATTTGGCCCATTTGCTATAATTTGCCAATCTTTAGTATATAGAATTAAACATATATGGAATGGAAAAAAGATTCAAATATAAAGTGCAGGAAATTTTCATGGGAATATATAAAAACCTGAATTTCCAGGTAAAAATAGAACCTGGGATACCAGGGAGTGATCTGAATACATTATATACATCATCTGTGTGATTCAGTATGATAGTGAAGATAGAAGAGAATAGCATTTTATGGCTACAATTTGGAGCCCTAAAACATAAGTCTAAATCCTGATCCTGCTACTTATTATCATGATCCTTCACTTCTATATAAAGCACTGCTCTGGTCATATAAATATAAATAGCATTACCTGCTACCTCAGTAAAAATGGTACTAGGAGTTAAATATGTTAATATACATGAAGTTCTTAGAATAGGACCTAGATATACCAATTGTCTATTGGTGTGATCAGCAGCAAGATTCATTCAACTTAAATTATCAAACTTCAAAAAAAAATAAGGAAAAAATCAGGTATCTAAGCAGAAAACTTATAGGGGAAAATGAGGTTGGCTTCATACATTTCCACAGCGATACCTCGTTCCACAGAACAGTGTCTGTAATATTCTAAGAGCCAACATGTATGACAAAGACCAATACATTGGGTCAAGTGTTGCAGGTATAAGGCAATGGGCTGGTGTTCTCAAATGTGAAAAAACTCTGAGAATGAAGAACTTATAATTCATTTACTAAAAATAAAGTAAATTAAAAAATTTAAAAGCTACAGTACAATAAAATCCAACCAACCAAGTGATAAATTAAAAAGTAAACTCAGTAATGAAAAAGTAATGCTAAAAGAATGAGCACTGAACAATGCTTCTGTTTAAATAGAGAACTCATAATGATCCAAGGAGGGAATTATGTTTGCGGAATAAAATGTAATGCTACAATGCTGACAAAGAAAAGACAATTTGAAATAAAAACTAGGAGGTACAGGAAGGGCAGAAAGTGAAAAGAAGTAGAGGAGTGTTTAGAGCCTCATCTTTCCTATCCAGATGCCTATCTACTTATTTTAGTTGAAGTATATAATTTAAAATTTTTTTCACCACAAGCTTTAAAAAGTCTTTATGCCATCAGTATAATGATATAAGGATTACTATCCTCTCTCTATGAAGGAAAATTGACAATCCCTTACATTTCACTTCAGCTCCTTTTTCTTCTAAAATTTAAATGAATTTAAATAATATTTAACTTAAATAAAATTAAAGGTAGTATCATAACACTAGTATCATTTCACTATTACTTTTCTCTTATCCACCATCCATTTCTCCATTCACTCTGTGTTTGTCCAGAAAAAAAGATGTGCGGATTGATATATACCATGTTACTTTAGGTGGTAGAATTTAAGGTGATATTTTGCTCTCTGCTTTGCACTTCACCTAATTTTTTGACAAGCAACATATAGATTTCTGGTTATTCATCAAAATCTTTTCTTCCTTCTTTCCCATACTCATGGCTAAACCATGTTTTTCAACCTCTCTAGTAGGTGTGTATGACCAAGTAACTAAATTCTCTTCCACACAAGGTAAGCAGAAATAATACTCAACTCAACCCTGTGTGTGATCTTTGACATTAATCTTTCTCTTTCCTGTCTGGTGACAAGAGATAACATAGAAAGCTTACACTGTAGATTGTGTGACATTATAGAAGAACAAAGATTGGGCTGTTTATACTTTGCTAGGGTGGATGTCCTTATAGAGCATCTTATTCTTTTAATATAACAAATATCAGTATCCATTATTTTATTAAAAATAATAGAGTAAGACAATAATCTAAAAATAAAATTAAAACAATCTAAAAAATAAACAAAATACAGGAGAAAATCCCCAGCACATAAGTTAGAGATTCTGACAAGTGGAGCCATGGTGTGAGAACAAATACAGCTGCCCCCAGTGTGACTGAGGACATTGGAGAGCGAGCTTCACAGGGTTAAAGGGCCAATGTAAAAGTATTCAGTGATCTCACAGATCATTTGAATTAAGTTCACCTTTGAGACTTGTTTTGTTTGATTAGTTTTAGAGAAAGTCTAATTTATAATGTTTCAAATTATATAAGAGACTACACATCTCTGAATTTAAAAGGATATTAGTCTCTGATACCATCACCTTTGCTATCCAACCAGATTTCACTTGGTTCTAGGGAAACAGTTGGCTCTAGACCAATCTGTCTTTTCTGAACACACTTTTATAACATTTTGAAAATTAATTTTGACATAGAGCCCTTTTTACATAGATTAATTTCACCCCTTTGTCCAAAACACAGCTCAGGAAACATTGCCAATATACCACCCATTGTAGTTTTGACACATAATAAGAGATTATAATTCCTTATCAGTGTATAGAGCTATTGAAAGTCAGAGTAATCATTTGGATCATTTGGATACTAATCCTGGAGGCTAAATATTTATAGGAAAAACTTATCTGAAGCTGAAAGAGTCTTCAAGAGATCATTTGGCCCAGGCTCTTCTGAATAAGGTATGAAATATTTTTCTTAAACTTTTTAATTAAGCTGCAAGATGACAGGTGTCCAGATTTTATTTATCATCACTGAGATAAACGGTTTTCAAATAATCACTGATGAGAGGAATGTGGGAGGTTAAAATAAAATTCTCATTTAGTTTCCTTCACACATTTGCCCCTGAAAAATCTTTTTGAACTCCAAAAAGTGTTTTAATTTTGTGAAAGAACAAATTGGAATGTGAAAGACATGAAAATCCTAAATGTCTGGCTCACATCCTCTCAAAAAAATAAAAATCTTTCGACAATATGTTTACAACTTAGTAGCCAGACATAAACACTAATTTTTAGTCCAAACATATCTCATTTCCATTATAATGCATTTAAATTTCTGAAAACTAGAATGTTTTTAGAGACCATGCCAATCAGAGATGTCTAAAACAATATTGCTTGATTCTTTTCCTAAGTTAGCTTTATACCAATTAGCTATTATTTCTGGTGAGCACTCAGCCCCCTGCAAGATAACCATTCCACTTTCATTTGTCTTAACTATCTTATTAATTTTGACATTTTTCCTCTTATACATTAAAGTAGCAATAGCAGCACTATCAAATTCATCAAGTAGAGAAAGACACTTCCAACCTGAAATCTAATTAATTTTTCATGTTCATTATCTTTTCAGAGTGTTTCTTACAAAAGGACATTATCAGCTATTATCAGCTTCTCTTTCCAGATAATTGATGCAGTTCTTCCCCCACCTTTTATTTTTTTCTAATAGGTGAGGAGAGACCTTTATTACTTATACTTACAATTCTTGCCAATGGCTTTTTAAAGGATAAGTATGAAATATATCATTCCAGATGCATAATGTGTTACCAAAAAATTAGATCCATTAGAATGAGAAACACATTAAAGGATAAGTTTAAAGAATTTACAGAAGTACACCATCATTTTATGAAGTACTGAACTGTTAATATGAAATGTACGAATATGCACTAGCTTAGTTTTTAAGAAGTCATATAAATAGAACTATTTCAGTGAAAATATAACAATTGCATACTGAATATTAAACACTGGCATCCACTTAAATATATTAAACTAGCCTATAGAGAAAAATTATGTTAAGAGAAAAGAGTATATGTTTGTATATATGTGTGTGTGTGTGTGTTCATTTATGTTTTAGCAAAGAAAATAGAAACACTTTGGATAGGACTTAAATAAATAGTTGTGTATTTAAAAAATGAATAAATGAATATTTATTTAAATTTTTAATAAATTTTAATACTAGCATTTAAAAATTAGAAGTTAGTGAAAGTTGCCATTTGAGACTAGAAAATAATTCTTTATAATATACCTACCTACATCTGTGAAAGAATGTCAGAAACTATGAAAGAAGTCCCTGCATTCATTCTCAGCTAGTCTACCCTGATGAGCCAGAAAGCTAGTAGTCACTAATAACTCATGGACAGTCATCAATTGTGATTTAAAGGAAAATAGATACTTTTCTACATGCGGAGAAAAGAGAAACGTAGGGATGACCACCTAAAATGAATGGAATCTCAATGACTGTGCTACCAAGATCCTTTAAAGCACTGCTTGTGTTTTTCAAAAACAGAAGAAAAAGTGGGAAGAGAAAAAGCATGTCCAGGAAGGTAACTTCCTTTCAAGCATAAGCTCATGGCACATGGGTGTAATCCCAGCAGTTTGGAGGCTGAGGTAGGAGGATCACAGGTTTGAAGTCAGCCTGGGCAATTTAACAAAACCCTGTATCAAAAATAAAAGAATCTTGTGTGATTTATTTAATTTATTGCATGGTTTCTCTTTTATGAGAAAAACAAACATAAATAAAAACCAAAATAAAAGATAATAGCAAGTAGGAAGATAGATATTTCTCAAATAGGAAGGAGATCAAGAGATGAAGAGGGGGAAGGAGAAGAGGGCTGAAAAAAGAAATAAGATGTGTTATGCACATGTACCAACTCCTCACAATAAATGTAATCATTATGCACTGCAAACATATACTAGTAAAAAAGTAAAAAGGAGGTCCAATTCAAAGCTACAAATACTTATTAAATATACTGGAATTTTACTCAATTTTCCTGCCCACTTTTTTTAACTATGATGTTTGCAGATGCTAATCCTTTCGTTTTTCCTATACAATGTTTCCTTGAGTTGTCTTCTCAACAAAGAAAGCATAGTCTCTCACACTTAGGAATCAGGAGTACATATTAGCAAATTGAAACCATAGCTTTTGCCTAATGAGGGGCATTTTTCTCTGTGAAAATTTAACTAGTTCATTAGCTGGAATCGAAAGCATACAGTCAGCTTCATTAGGCACATGTCCATTCAACTGACCTAACCAGCCCAAAAGACAGGGAAATGCATATACTATGGACAGAACAATTCCAACAGGTCATATACACATATATGTTTGGTTTTTTGAAGAAAACAAAATAACAGTTAAAAATTTTAAAAAAGAAACATGGAAAAACAATTAGAAAATTTGAAATTTTTACCTGAATTAACTGAAGTCTCATCATTGGAGGAGAACAGGTCTGGCAGTGGTCTGGAGAATTTAAATGAGCAAAGCCCCTGATGAATAATCCATAGCCCCATGACTAAGAATTTGCAACAAAAATAAAATGGGCTTTCAACAGACATAACTACTTTTTAAATGCTTTCTAATATTATAGGGCTTTTTAATCCATTTGTCCTATCTCTAGCTACTTAACCTTGATTCCTTTTCTCTATCATACAGAAAAGGTAAGCAAAATTTGGAGGAGGGTAAAAGGTGAGCTGTTTTATAGTGATTAATAAACTAACATTCCCCTGGTCATGACTTCCTGTGCTATACAATTTGAGGAGAAAACAAAATGAGTCTCCTTTTCAGCACATGAGTCTTCAGTTATATTCTGAATAAATCCAATCATGACACCATCAACTTCTCCATTTGGTCTTCAGTTAGATAGCAGGGTTTAAATGAGCACCTTTCCTTAGGAATATGCATACTCTCTCCCAGTACAAAGTACTATTTCTTGTCTACATTTCATTGGTACCTTCTTCAGGGGAGATCATTTTTGTATCCTAAAAAAGTGGTTCTGCTTGCATGATCATTATCATCATTAAGCATTTATGAAGCACTTTAGACTTATTTACTAGTACTCACAATGCCCCTATAAGACACATGGTATAATGGACTTCTTATAAATGAGACAATGGAGGTTCAATAATTCAGGCAAGGTCACACAGATAATTTGGATAAAAGACTCAAAGTCTCTAACTTCCTGTTTAGTACCTAAATGAAAACTCTTAAGTTGTATAAAAAATTATCTACTTTATACTTCAACTGTTACTGGACATAAGTAATCAAACAAGTGATTTTTGGCTCTCACCCGGTAGCTGACAGCATTGTTTTAGTAGACCTGTGATGTCAAAGCCAATGTCTCTATAATTCTCTTGATGTGAAGATAGTTCCAACTCCAGGCAATATATCTACACTCAAGAGAAAATAAAAGGAAGAAAATGTGTTACTAACCTTGTGTAGCCCCATCAGGAAAGTAAAATTTTTCTCAAATAATCTTCAGTACAATTTTACTCATAAGACTTTGTCAGGGGAAGTTGATAATATGAACATGTAACTTTCTATTGTCTGTAATATAGAGGCAGCAAAAAAAGGAAATCAAGACAATTGTGTCAGCCAACTAATGGTGTCTGCCATAGTAATTACAGAATTTTCTGTTGAATATTCATTTGCTAAGCATCCCTTGGTTGCATTAAATGCTAACATTTGTTAACAATGGAGTGGGATCCAGAATTTAACTTTTTTTTTTAATTGGGAATAAGAATTTACCAGTTGTAAATTTTATTCCATAATTTACTTTGGTGAGACAAGGGGACTTATAAAAAGATAGCGACATGTTTTCCAGCATTTTTGACTTTCCTTTTTTTGTATCAGTCTCCAATAGGTATATGTCTTTTACCCTCCTCTTTTTTGTCTGTCAGTATCCAGCTTTTCCATAAATGCCTCCACCCAATTAAGCCAAGCCTCATTTATTTGACACACCATACAACTAGATATTACTAGGACATTCACCACCTGATATGGGAGCATTTGCCAATTTTGAAAAGACATAATATAATTTTTCACTTATTTCAAATCCCAAAAGTATGTGACACCTCTTCTCTTTTGTATTTATATGGGTCAACATATAGAAGAGCCTCTGACATTTTTGGGGGCACTCAGTATGGGGCAGTTAAATAATTTACCTATATTATCTTAATTCTTCCAGTTCTATATAACAAGCACTATCATTATTCTCACTTAACATATGAAGCAATTGAAGTTCAGAGAGGTTAAAGAGTCCATGGAAAAATATATAGATAATAAATGATGCAACTGAGATGCCAATCTAGGCAATCACTCTTAGTCACAATGCTTTCAATCACTCTGTAATGGAAGGAAGGGGGGAAAGAAGACAAAGAGGGAAAGAAAAAAAGAGTTGAGGGTGGCCAGTAATTAGGGAAAGAGGCAAATAGGAAGGCAGCAGGCAGAAGTGAATTTATCAGAAGACTAATACATTACTCTGCAGGAATCCTTCTACTGCTTAGATTTTCCTCCATGTCTTATGAAAGAATAGTAGGGTAAATATTGTTTAAAACAAACTAGGACATATTTAAAAATAATTAGCACAGTATGAAATTCCCAATATACAATATGATTTCTGCTTGAAGAAATGGAAATGTTTCTTACCCAGGTTTCATTATTATATATTGTATACTTGTATACATATATCAATTGCTATAATGTACCCTCATAAGTAGTTACAAATATTATGTGTCTAAAATAGGGTCTCAGGCAATATGCTTTTATAATATTTGAATTTTTCAAAAGATCTCTCTCTCCCTACCCCCTCCCTCCTTTTTCTTTCCCTTATGCACTTAGCCTTATTTGTAGGGACATTGGAGTAGGCAATTTTGGATCCACCAAAGGTTAAGTTGAGTTTAGGATGTATTTGGTTTGGACTTGGCAGAATATATTTATGTAATGTTAAATAATTTGCATGTATCATTGGTATTTATAGTCATCTTCATATAGGTAGATGGCTGTGAGGAAAATTGTTATTGCCCTCTGTGACAACTCATCAGCCTCATTATTTGAAGGTATTATATACATTTACCAGAGAGAACATCATCATAAGAATTTGGCTTATGGTGACTAAATCAAAAAGAATGTTAGTAATGGATAAGAAATAAAGATCGAAACGTGTAGAGCCCGAACTATTCTGTAAAACATTCTTTCAAGATCAGATATGTAAAATTATAATAGAGAATGTATTTAATACCTAGGCATAATGCAAGTTCTCTCCTCTAAAGAATATTCTATCTGATGCAGAACTTTTCTATTTTAATGCACCTTATATTTATTTTGTTTTTGATGGAAAATGTACCAAATACAACTTATCAACATTCTTGTGCAGGTAGGAAACAAAACTATAATAATGCTATAAACAGTAAATATATCTTTGAGTAAATCCACATGTTTTATGCATTCTGATGTGCCTTAGTATGACACTACCAATAACAAAAAGTGTAGGAAAAAGAAACTTTTATAAACTGTCAATACAGACATACAAATTATTATCATTGTGCTAAAGAAAAAGATAGGGTTGTTCTCTCAATATACATAGAGAATTCAAAAATCTTTTTCCTATAAAGAAGCAGTTAAGAAGCATGTAACCACAAATGTAGATAAAAATGTTATCTAGGAATAAATTAATAAAAGAGATACAATTTTACCTTTCTAAGTTGTCTGGTTATTGTGATTTTGTCACCTTTTTAAAATTGTGACTTTTTTTTCCACTTCTTCATGATTTTGCATTCCTTTTCTTAAAGAAGTATCAAATATTACCTCAGCTTTTGGATCCTTTATAACATGGTTTTGCCCCTGGATGAGGGAAGGAAGAACATACCATCTAATCAGCATCTGAGCATTTCCTTAAGCCATGAACAATACAATGTATACACTTTATGAAAGACTAGAAATGTAAGCAGAGAAGTCCATCACTGGTGACCAAAGCAGCTTTTCCTCAGAGAAGCTCTCCTTGAAGCCTTTGAGAGAACTCAAGGTTATCCAGATCTTTTATGGGGAAGCTGGGTAGGAAAGAGTGAGAACAGAATATTTAGTAATTTAATCTTTGAAGATATTAGATATTTGTATATGTACAACTTTTAGGCAGAATCAAACAAATCAACATTAATAAAATAACAGAAATATGCAGAATAAGCCACAAAATCTTTAAACAAACTTATGAGGGGGTCAGTCAGTGTCTGCAGCACAGATGATAGACTAATGAATGCTTTCAGCAAGAAAAAATGGTTCCATTGACTAGAAAAGAGACCAATGGACAAAGATAAATAGATAAATGACAGAAAAAAGGTGAACAAAATGGAAAAAAAAAAAAAAGCAAACCATAGAGGAATGAGAAGCCAGCAGTGTTGTAGCAGACTGCAGTTAAACATTGCTTCCCCACACTGCTCCCATTTGAGAGTTTGTGGCATTAGACGGAAGAATGACAATGTTTCAGGCAAATGGTCCAATTCAATTGAGTTCATTGTAGCTAGAAAAGAAGTAAGAAAGAAAAAATACCAAATAATGAAGAAGACACTGAAATGTAGAAGCAAAAAGATGAAAGAAGAATGACAGGAAAGAAAGCCATGTCCATTTTGGAGAAGGGAGGAGGCCCCCCCAAAATAAAGATAGGCATTGCTCCGGCTCCACAGGTTCTTCACTTTCCAGCTCTATCCCACACCCTAACATCTATTCTCTCTTTTTACCCAGCAGTGTTAGCTGGGCAGAAATCAGTGTTCATAAGTAGAACTCTTGGCTGAACCAAAGCCCAGAGGCCACCAATGATTTTCTAGCAGAACGGAGGGCAGAAGAAACCCATGACATTTTGAAAGGACATGTCAGCTGCATTTTACTGGACATGCCCAAGTGGTCAGAGGAATAGTAAATGCTGGTGTTGAGTATGTGTCATAGACTAGATATTATGGTAAGTGCTTTATAAACGTGTAATGTTCACAACAGCACTTTGAAGTACATATAAATATTATGTAAATTTTTAAGTTGAAAGATTACTGCCTAGAAAAGTTAAAAAGTATGCTCAAGAAGGCTGGGGATGTAGCTCAGAGGTTAAAAGAACTTGCCCGGCATGCATAAGGCCCTGAGTTCAATCCTCAGCACTTCAACTACACACACACACGCACACATACACACACACACACACACAGTCACAGAAAGAGTAATCAGTAGAATTCTAAGATAATCTTTCTGAATACACAGTTCAAATTTTTAAAAGCAATATCAAATTATTACACTGTACTCCATAAATACGTTCAATTAAAATAACAATAAAAACTAAAAAATTTTAAAAGTAGATCACAATATCTACTGTTACAAAAGAATTACCCAACTCTAACATAAATTAGAAGCAAATAACCTCTATTTGTGGGTTTTGTCCACTTAAAGCTGCAGATAAGATGGCATTTTTAACTCTTCATTTTTCTGCCTTTTACATTCACCCACATATATCTGTGTCTACAGAGAAGCCATTTCACTGTTTCCTTTCCTCAAGCACAAAACACTTTAATCCTGTCTCTTCTTAGGAAAAAACATACAGATATTAACCCCAGTCTCCTACTTAGTACTTTATCTGAAAGATAGAATCAGATTGTTGGCCATGTTTTGTATCCCACTCTAGGGAGCAATGAGTTTGGGTTTCATCAGTGAACACCCATTGACTTCCAGCTTTCCCTTAAAGCTCATGTATCAAGTCATTCACGATAGACAGCTCTTCTGCATGCAGACTGGAGATAACTGAGCTGTTGTTTAAATCTCAGTATCTTGCCAGTTTAGTGCGTTTATACACTTATAAAAGATAGCTAAGTCACTAATTTCCATTAGGAACTAATGGCCCACAAAATTTCTTGTCTTAGCTTGAAACTGTGTGTGAGTTAGAAGCCAATAGATTTCTCTTTGCTCTTGTATAACTTAAAATATCCAAAACTGAAATTATATTTTTACCATCCAATATATAGATCATTCTTAGTGAAACTGTGTTTTAGTTAGAACACACTAGAGTTTTCTTTATCCCCCTCTAACCTAAAATAGCCAAAGTTGACATTATGTTGTTTCTAGCATAAAATATGCAGGTATTTATAGGCAGAAAATATTAATAAGTTTTAACGTTCAAAAAATTTTAGAAAGTCTGCTTATATTATGTACCCTTGAATTAGAGAGTTCTCCAAGATTCCAATGATTTCTAACCTAGATATTGAAGTCATTTAGAATATATTTAAAACTACTGAATGATGAGTTATCACATGGGACTAACAAATAGGCATCTTAGCACTAGTGTTATTTCAAATGGTAACACTGTTTGGGATCATATAAAGGGTGTGACATGTGAAGTTTCCAGGTCTGGAATCAAAGTAGAGAATATACGTCAGGAGTGAAGGGAAACGGCCTCTAGGTAGCATTAGCTTTGAATCTGTGAGATAGTGACTGGAACCATTTTGGGTCTTTGGATTTGGAATCATATACATCAAATATTGACCATGAGTTTTAGTAAGGCCCTTCCTTAACTTCTGTGGATTTCAGTAAAATCAAGAACATAATGCCTGGTTTCATTGTTGGCCAAAATCTAAACATACCATGTATGAAGAATAATGGATCATACTTTAAGATATATCTTCTGGAATATCCTTCATGTACTTCAAACCCAACACATTTAAAAGTAAATTTATCAACTCCTCTTCCACTATAAGTCTTTCCCCAATTCAGTGACTCAATCAAAATCATAGGAGCCACTGCTGATTTTCCTTCTCCCTCAGGTTTCATATCTAATTGACCTGCAAATGCTGCCAAAGATGCGTGCCTAATATACTAAGTCTCTGACATCATTTCTGCTAGGTTAGGTCTTCATGTAGTTTAGACAGGATTTGAGTATATTTCTCAAAGTTTTGTGTTGCTGGAAGCTTAGTCCCCAGTGTAGTGGTGTTGAGATGGTGGAAACTTTAAATTGAACCTAATGGAAGGTAATTAGATCACCAGACCCTGGCCCTTAGAAGGATTTGATGCTGGTCTCTTAAAATGAGTTAATTCTCAGAAGATCAGGTTAGCCAGGCTATGCCATGTACTTTTTCTTTTTTGCCCTCAGCTGTGTCCCTTTGTTCTTCTCCACCGTGTTGTGACACAACCAAAGGGGCTATCACCAAAGACCAAGCAGATGAGCTCGTCCAATCTTGGACTTTGATTCTTCAAAACTATAAAGCAAATAATATCTTTTCCTTACGAAATATCTAGCCTGAGGTGTTTCATTATAGCAACAGAAAATAGACTGTATAGGCCTTTATTATTTCTAAATGAGTAATAGTAAGAATGACTAGTCTTCTTCATTTCTAAATTTTCCCCTTCTAATGCTAATATGTTAAAATCTGATCCTGCCTCTCTATCACCCAGTCCAAGCTCCCAAGATGAAATTAGGCCCTCATTGTCTTCGTGTCCATCACAGTGGTTTTGTGCTTTGATTCTAACACTGCTTACTCCACGCACACTGTATGTGTTAGCAATATTGTGCTACTTGTAGTTCTTTACACGTGTTCCCTATCAAGAATGTCACTACTCTGCTTCTTTTCTTCACCAAGACCAGAATTGCTTAGACCTAAAGTAGTTCACATCCCCCTTCCACACAAACAAATCAGAATTTCAGGTGTTAGTCTGAAGAATCTGAATTTTAATATGTTCTTCACTGATTCTGACACATGCTAAAATTTTGGAAACACTGACCTATGTGACTCTTACTTATCATTTTAAAACCAAATTAGGCATCACCTCCTCCAGAATGCTGTATTTGAAGCACATAGCCTAAATTAAGAGAATCAAATTAGGAGGATCAAATACCCTCTTATAAAATCCCACAGTATCCTATATATTATGCCCTTTGTGTCAATAGCACTTGTGTATTCAGTTACCTATTTTATTTTAAAAATTTGAGTTTCTTCAAGACAGAATATGTATCTTAGTTGCTTTTGATTCCTCAGCATCTAACATCTCATATTTTTAATAATAGTTAATAACACTTATAGAGTGATTATTTTATGACTCTTACTCTCCTAGCTCTTTACATATGTGAATTCCTTTTATTAATATAATAACCTTAGAAGGTAGATACTATTATTATTAATTCTATTTTTCAGATGAGAAAGTTGAAACAAAGAAAGATTATACAAATTGTCTAAGGTAATCCAATGAATAAATATCAGAACTAGGATTCAAAGTCAGGCAGGCTGGGCTTCAGAGTCCCCAGTCTATATTCTCAATCACTATAAGGTCCTGCATCTGCAGACCTTCAAATTAATGAGTACTTGAATTGTCTGGCACATGATTGCTCAGTAAATGGGGCAACCATTCTCATTATCATCACCATCAGACTCTCACAAACCAAATTACTTGCCTAAATCTCTGCAATCAATTCCACTCACTCCTACCTCTTCTTTGTCTCAAATACTCTCCTTTTACCTCTCATATCAAGATGCAGCAAGGTTGAGTATGATACAAGGAACTCCTAGGGAAAATGTTACACCAGCTCCATCTCTTTGCTCCCTTTTCCCACCCTTTAAAAGATCAGAAACCTCATAGAGCCTAAGGTTGGCCACTAACAATCACATCCTAGTCCAAAATGTCACCAAGTGAGTTATTATCAGTACCCTTAGTGGTGGTGTAAGAAAAGGAAGAACACTTCCAATTCCACTTAAAGTCATCAAAACAATCACAGTATCAACAGGTTTCTCATTCCATCCCAATGCATAGATATAACGTAATGGGATAATGGAAATATTTTCAGGTGTTTTCCAGTATGTTTGGCCTCCTTGGTAATCATTTTGGGATGAATTGTCCATCTCCCCTGAAAAATTCATATGTTAAAGCTCTAACCCTAAGTGCTTCAGAATGTGACCTTTTTAGAATAGAGGGTCTTTATAGAAGTAATTAAGTTAAAATTAGGTCATTAAAGTGGCCCCCTAATCCAATTTGACTTGTGTCAAAAGAAATGGAAATTTGACATGGACACATAGAGAGGGAAGACAGTATGAAGACACAGGGAGAACCTGGACATCTATAATACAAGGAGAGCAGGCAAGGACAAGTTATCCCTCAGAGCCCTCAAAAGGAATCAACCTTGCCAATACCTTCATTTCATACCTCTGGCCTCAAGAATTGTGAGACAATAAATTTCTGTTGTTTAGGCCATTAATTTTGTGACATAGTAGTTTTCCCTAATTCAAAGAGTGACTTTTTCTGGGTTCAGTCACTAGGAATCAACCATAGTCCCAAAATATTACATGAAAAATTTCAGAACAAATAATTCATAAACTTTAACGTGCATGTCATTCTGAGCAGTGTGATGAAACTTGCCCCATTCCACTCCATCCCATGAAGGACATGAGTCATACCTATATCCAGCATGTCCATGCTGAATGTACTACCCATCCTTTAGTCAGAAGGCCTGTTGTGGTATCACAGTACTTGTTCCTATAACCCTTATTTTATTTAATAATGGCCTCAAAGCAGAAAGGTTGTGATTCAAAGAAGGTATGGGACAGCAAACATAGAAAGACAGATTCATCCTGGTATTAAGTGGCAGCATTGCAGGGCACATAGAAAAAAAAAAAATATATATATATATACATAGTTTATACTCTCTACAATTTTAGGCATCCACTGAAAGTCTTAGAACATTTAACCATGCATAAAAGAATACTACTTTAATTTGTTATAGCAACACAAACAAACTAATTCAGTAAGCCAGATTTCTTTCCTACAGTCTTTTCATCATTCTTTCAGCCAGGAAAGGGCTGGATGAGGATGTTCAGAGGAAAGATAAAAGATAGGAGCAACTCTTGTCATGCTGAATAGGAGTGGAGGGTCGATCAAGAGTTATGGGAAAAAGCTGAGTTGGGGGAGACTGGGAGAAAAATGGAATAAAAAAGGAGAGAAGAATAGGGAATGCCTTAAATTCCTAATATGATTTTTTTTTTTTGGTACCGGGGCTCAAACTCAGGTCTTTGTGCTTGCACAGCAGGCGGCAAAACCACTGAGCTAAATCCCCGGCCCAAATTCCTAATATTGTTAACTGCAGTTGAAGTTCTGAGCAGGAGTACACTAGAAAGACCTCTAATAGGTGTTGTTCCTCACTTCTCTGGAAGTTTGCAAGCCCCTCAAAGAGGACTTGTGTTGGCCAAGATGCAAGAGCATTATGATCCCAACTGAGATAGGAGTAGAAGTGGAATTGGCTGGAGCAGCAAGGGAAGACTGTCTAGGAAGATGGCATGCCCAAATCTCCACAACCCAGTGATGCAAAGCCCATGTGCTCCAGTACAGAATATGTTATCGCTGAGGGGAGTTGTGGACTAAGAGAGGCCTGGGTAAGGACAGAGGCCACAGCATAGAATCAGCAGCATGATGACCAGAGGTGATGATAACTTTGACTCAAACTACAGCTGCTGGTGCAACACCCAATGCTTAAAACAGTGTCAGTCACACATCAGTGATGAGCTGCTTACTTGCTCAGTGATCAGATGGGATTGGATATTTTAGAGAAGACTGAAAAATCCCAGCAAATGGTAAGTAAAACAATGGTCCCTCCCCATTCTTTTCTGGACACTCAAGTGTGTCTTTATATTCCAATGGCATCTTTTGAGGAGCAAGGCAGGATAAGACTCCTATGGTGGAAGAAAAACATAAGTTTAAACTTTGGATAGATTATCTTTACCACAACATAAACCCTATTTTATACTAGAAGACTCTGAGCTACAAGTGAATGACAAATGAAAATATTTTTGCAGTGATAACTAGGAAAGGGACTCCCAGGTAAAGCAAACTTGCTTATAAGACAGTTACTATTTTATTTATCTTTATTTGCATATCCAAATTGCAATGAATAAAATCCCTAGAATTATATACTTTCCACTCATTCATTCAATGTAGTCTACAGTGTGCAAAGAGGTCCCACACTATGCTCTCCAGGGGATGGCAAGATGCTCAACCGTCTCTGTCCCTTAACACCCACAGGAAAAATTCCCACTGCACATGGTGTCATTCTCCTTCATCATACAACCTTCCTTTCTGATGTATGTATAGTCTTGTTTTCCAGAGTGCTGGATCCTTCTTAGAAAGCTTCCAAAAACAGACTGGGAAGAGAAATCTCATATACAGGAGGCTGGGGGGTGGATAGGGTGGGATAAGTCATATGAGGGACAAACTCCACTTTCAGAATCAATGAAGCTTATGGTTTAAAACACTGCTTTAGTTCTCTGTCCAGCCAGTCTGCATGGCCTGATCTGTATTCAGGTAGTGATTTTGAGTATTATGTAGCTTGAAAACTTGAAGTGAATTCTCTGGGTGGTTAATAAGCTATCTGTACAAGTATTAATGAACAATGACCTTGCACTGAAACAAATGCTCTCTAAGTGTTTGTCTCTTCATTATTGCTCTAATATCATAGCATTCTATCTTCTTACTTTCCTGGCTGATCACTGCTTGTCAGTGTTTCTACCTCACAAAATCAACACACTAAATTACACTAGAAGAATGTGACCAAACCTCTGATACGTTTTCTTTAACTTTCATCATTTCCCAATATGTACTCATATGGTCTGGAGTATTTTTATAGCTATGGAGATTTTTAAATAAATCAATACAGTTGTTTTATTGAGAGGTTAGTATGTGCTATGTACCATCCTAAATGTCAATAAAATGAAAAATGATGGAGAATATATCATCCCTATCCCTAAGGATCATTTACTGAAAATTGTGAATAGTCTATATTTATAAGAAATTGGCACTGAATAAAAACTTTCAGAATGTGAGATAGATGATAGATAGATAATAGGTAGATGACAGATAAACAGCATGCATTTCTAACAATTGATCCCCACAACAATTTTATTCATTATGTACATAATAGCATTAACTCCATTGTACAGATAAGGCAGTTTACCTAAAGTCATGTTGCTGCTAAATCTTGGAGAATCTACTAGTCAAACCTAGAACAGCCAACATTAAAAGGAACACTTTTATATCACATTCTTTTCTATTTTTAAAAACACTGCACAAAAACTATAACATTTTAGTAAACATCCACTTATAAAAATTATCTGAGAAATTTTCAAAACCATATATATTTATATACCTAAATTTCAGTCCCACAGATTTTGGCTAGGTAGACCTAGACTAGCTTACAAATCTCTGCTTATATAAAGCAACCAACCCAATTTTAATGATCCTTCAAGTTCAGTACCTGAACTGGAGGCAGAGTCTATACAGGTCAATTGGACGAAGTATTTAAACTTTCCAAATTATTTAGGATATTTTAAATCATTAACTCAAAAACAGAAAAACCAGCCAACCAGGAATCCTAAATATCTTGATTAGTAAATTTGTTAAGGAAAAAAGCCATTTAGATAATTTTCCATGTGATAACTACATTGTCACAAAGAAGTGCTTTGGCTCACAGGAGCATCCAAAGAGTTTACTGCTCCTTCAACAGTAAAAGGCACTGACTCACCAGATGGGATTTTCCTAAATCCTAAATCTGTTTCCTCTGAGATTTTCCTGCTGAGTATGGGTATCCATAGTCTGGGATCAACTTTAAGATAGTCAATAAGGGCAAGACCCCGCCTTGAGTTACCTTACACAGATACCTGTACTGTCTGGGAAAACAAACTGCCCTCTGCATACTTTTCTGTCCCTCCCAGGGCCTCAGGTCATGACCTCCATATGGTGGGTACCACAAAATATTTGTACATCTTGAGTCTCACCTTCCTTTGCTTCTCCTGCAATTCATTTTTCTGAATCCATAGCTTCTTTTGTTAGAGACACCTCATTTTTAAAAAGGATAATTGATTACCCAAGATTAAGACAGCAGGACTTTTGTTAGTCTCGATACCTGAGTCTCCGGTTGATTGAATCTAGTTTCTACCCACACTCTTGCCCTTCAATCCAATGATAACTTGCTATAGGTTCAAATCATTTCAAGAGTGGGAGGTAATCTTTAGTTGCTTAATTATTTAGGGAGAAAAGATATAAAAATTCTTCAATGTTGTCCATCATGTGCATAAAAGTTAGAAAATGAAATGTTTGTTGTCATAGCCACTGTCACTAAGAACAGATTTCTCTTAGTCTGTCCCCGTGAAACAAGATAAAAAGAAAAAGGAATAAAGGTATTTTAGTCTTCACTTGAACTTAACTTGAACACTATTGTTCTGCTCAAACATCTCATTAACTAAAGCAACCATAAACTTCAAATGTCAACTCTGAAAACTGTTATAAAAGCACCAGTCATCGTTGCTTTAACTTTACCTCTGCCTGTCAAACTCGGAAACTCTCTCACTTACTCACACAGATTTTCTCTCTACTTCATTTGTAGTTTCTTGGCTAAGGCAGATGAGAACTATGATTAAGTAAACTTGCAAATGTCAGAAAGAGACTAGAAGGAAAGCTATCATGCACACACACAAATTACTTTTATGCAGTATAACTAGTCATAGTAAAGGACCTCTCTTCCCTGTCCCTTCCACTTACCTAGACTTTCAGCTCTACCCTATCTCTTCCCAGTAAGATTGCAGAGGTCAGGGAGACAGAATGCAGGGAGTCTGTTACACCAGAAAGTGAATGTACTGAGCTGAGGTAACTCAGGAGGCAGGAAATGAGTTGTGAAATCTGTTGCCTCCAGGTCACCAGGTTTATTTGGGCCCAATTGAAGAGTTTACTCACCTGCTCCTAATATGAAGCCAGGAGTTGAAGTAATTTTCTGGATAATGTAGTTTCCTTTTTAAGAAAAAAAAATTTTATGTTACAAAAAGTATATCATATTTGTTTTAATTGAATTACTATTCTGATCTTCAATTTCACAAAGTCAGGATCTATATGGGGGGGTTACATTCACATAGCTCTTGTTAATTGCTCTTGTTCAAATGTGCTATGCATAGATGTATCCATGGACTTCATTCTTTCTCCTAGTTTAAGTGGTATGTTAGAAAAAAGGCCACAGATAAACCAACTGTAATTCCACTAGAAAAGAGATACAGTCATCATTTCTTGCCTCAGAATATTTTAAAGCTGAATGTGGTGGTACATGCCTGTAATCTCAGCTACTCCAAAGGCTGAAGCAGGAAAATCACAAATGAAGGCCAGCCTAGACAAAATAACACACTGTTTCAAAATAACATTTTTAAAGAGGGCTGGAGATGTTGCTTAGTGGAAGAACGGTCTCCTATCAAGGACAAAGCCTAGGGTTCACGCATTCAAAAGACATTTATCGAGTATATAGTACATACAAAAAATGTGCTATATCCTGGGTTAGAGCAGTGATTAGTATATATACCAACCGCATCCTTCTGGAGCTCATGATCCAACATTAGAGAAACAATTATATAAATATTAATCATCAGGTGTGATGTGTACCATGAGAAGAAGTCTTAGGGAGTTGCAGGCACAAACAGCAAAAGAGGCTAACCAGGGCCTGAGCTGAGTGAAGTTTCCCAGCAGAAAGATATCAACTGAAGTTTTCTGAGGACAGAGAAGAGCATAACTCACATTTTCTCAGTGAAGGTGGGAGGTAAAACAGAGCTTGATGTACCTGAGGACCCAGAGGAACTCAACCTGAGTTGAGAGAATGACAGAAAAGTTGTAATCATTATGTACTGTGAAGATGTACTAATAAAAAATAAAAATTGAAAAAGATCCCTTGATGAGAGTCTAGTGAGATCAGCAGGGCCAGCTTGTGGCATCTCCTGCCCTGCAGTATCACCTGCAGAAGTGCCAGTTCTCCTACCAGTCCATACCTTCATGACCTCTGGTGGAAATTCGCCACCATTTCTTATCTTCAGTGTTTCACATCCTGTTCTCATCTCTGCTTCCTTCACACTGTCAGACAAGAGTCTCACCTCTTTCTTTACTGAGGTGATTCCCTCTTCTTATGCAAACCAAAATGGTCCTGCGTGTTCATTCAACATCTCCTCTTTGCCTTTCATCTGAAAAGAGGAAAAGATGGTCAATGAGAAGCCCAGAATTGAGCATCTGTGTGGTTTAAAGCTTTGTGCTAAGAAGTGAGTGAATCTAATTATGAGAGATAATCTTTGGCAAATTGAAACTTAATTTTTCCAGCACCATTTATTGAAGAGGCTATCTTTCCTCAAGTGAGGGTGTTTGGCTCCTTTATTGAAGATGAGATGGATAAGTATGTCTGGAGTTGTTTTGGCATCTTCTAATCTGTTCCACTGGACCTCAGGTTTGTTTCTTTGCCAGTACCATGCTGTTTTTATCACAGTAGCTTTGTAGTATAGTTTCAAGTTGGGGATTGTGATACCCCCTGCCACGTCTTTGTTACCTAGAATTGCTTTTGCTATTCTGGGTCTCTTCTTGTTCCAAATGAGTTTTTGGATTGTTTTCTCAAAGTATGTGATGTATGCTGCTAGGATTTCAATTGGGATTTCATTGAATCTATATACCAGTTTTGGAAGTATGGCCATTTTCACTATGTTGATCCTTCCTACCCAGGAGCAGGGGATGTCTGTCCATTTTCTGAGAGCTAATTTCAACGATTAAAGCTAAATAGCCCTAGGCAGCTCTCTCACATCCACAGGTCTTTGCAAGCTGGGGCGGGGAAGGAAGGTCTTTGATCTGGATTTGGATAGGGTAAGTCTCCACCTGACACTTTGGTTGGCACATACCTGTTTCTTCCTTTCTAATGTTCCTTCTGTCTCATTCTGAAGCAGCATTTGACAGTGGAGTGAAAAGACAGGAAAATAATGTGGGAAAAGGTATGTGTTTTTTTTATGAAAACAATAAAACAGAAAAAGACAAGATTGAGGAGGAGGAAGACAAAAGGCATTTGGGTGACCTTGCTCTGGGCTCTGAGAATAAATATAAAACAAAGCCCCAAGGTATCTTCTGCCCAGAACACCAGAGTAGGAAGCAAGCAGCAGCCCAGGGAATAACAAAAACAATTACCAAAAGAAAAAAAACAAGAAGCCAAGCTGATTGGTTGGTGCTTTCAGAAATTGTGTGATATTGACAGAAGAAAATTAGACAAGTCGCAGAATCACCTGAAGCAAAGAAGCAAAGATAACACATCACATTGAAAGGAAACATTACTAGAAATTGTACTGATTATGAATCTTTTATTACAACCTACTGAAAAGCTAACTCAAATTTACTTAAGCAAATCAAGAGTCAGTGTTTCTGCATCTTTCAGTCCAGTTCTCTTCCATGTGACTTTATCCTCAGGTTATGTATGGTGGCCCCCAGCAGCTCTTAGATATAGAATCTTGGCCTCAAATTCAACTGCAAAAGCACTTATCTTTACTCACCAGGTGATAATAACTGCCATAGCTTTTAGTCTGTGACTGACACTGATCTAAGAGTTTTCTCTGTTAACTTACTTGATTTTCACAATCATCTTGTATTATTACATTGAGACAGAGAAGAGTAAGGTAACTTGCCCATGTCACTTATCTAGTTAACAACAGAGATAGCATTCATATCTAGCCATCATGAACCAGAGCCTAGATTTCTAATCACTATGCTAAACTGCCTTTAGCCTGATGTTTGTGGGTGAAAGAGGAACAGTTGTGTATCCTGGCACCAATCTCCTTGAACTGAATGCCATGGCCCATCATATTTGAATCGTATACTACATGCCATGCATCGCTGGGCTCAGACCCTGTGCCAACTACGGTTATGCAGAGGAAAACTGAGGTGTTAGTGGCAGAAAAGGGTGGACAGAGAAGTTAGATGTCCCCTCCAGAGGAGAAACGCTATCCTTCTTGCCCAGTTCTCCAATCTCACTCCCACCAACTTCTCTGCTTTCTTCCTTTTGCCTCTGTCTTCCAATATATAGCAACACTATGTACACTATGCACCAATCATGTGAACAGAGCAGTAACTGACAGTCTTTGCTCTCACAAAGGTTATGCTCTAGAGAGAGAAGTGATACACAGCATGTGACCATATAATATTCATGAGTGTGTGAAGAAAAATTTAGCAGGGTTAAAGAGAAGAATGACAGAGAAAAAACAAAAAGTACTACTTGATGTATTCAAGGTGATAAGTGGAATCCTCTTGGATGAGAGAACAAAGATCTGAATAAAATAAGAGTGGTGGGGAGTGGCATGGATTCTGGAGGAAGTAAGATACAGGCAGTGGGAGGAGTAGAACAAGGTCCTGATGCAAGACTGTGCTCAAGGACCTCCTAGAAGAGCAGGGAGCCCGGAAGCTGGAGTGAAGTGAGCAAAAGGGAGTGTTGTAGGGAAGGTCCTCAGACTGTTCCTGCATGTCCCTCAGCCACCTCTGCACCTCATCTATGTAAGTAGATAACTAAAATCCTGATAGCTCTCCAAAGGAATAGTCCTTTGTTTGCAACCACCTCATTATAAAAGTCCTGGCAGCATCTCACACTTCATCTGTTGAAATTAAAATCATCCTCTTTGACTCAAACTCTTTTCTCCTTCTGTCATCTTCATGACAGTTAGTGAGTATGCAATCTCCGTGCTGCCCAAACATAAGTACCTTGAACCACTGGCACCTTCTCTCTCTCCTTTACCCACAAAGACCCATCAAATTTCTTTTCTGTCTTCCTAAAATGCCTCTCACACCCATTCCTGTTTCCACCCAAGGAAGACCCTCATTATTTCTAATCACAGACAATTCTGACAATTGTCTCCTGTTATCCTGACTTCTAACAAATTCCCTTCTAGGATGGACAGGACACATCTTGGAGACTAATCTTTTGAATGCATAACTCTTGTCATTTCTGATAAACCCAACACATTCATTTGGACCTAGCTAGTGTTCAAGGTCCTTGATTAGGATAATCCAGAAAAAGAAAATTTATA